GACGTGACCATTTCTATCCCAACGTCTGCAACTCACATAGAGTCCGCATAAAGCACGTCATGGTGCCATCGGAACCGTGCGCATAGAAAGGTAAATACGTGTAAACATAAATCGACGGTTTCCTGTCGTGGACTACAACTGCGGTTAGGTTCGTTTTCATCATCATGTTGTGTCGATGATCCTTAGAGTAATTATACATGTCGATGTGAGGAATGGTTGTCTTTTTCTGATTCATTCCATCCACTATAAGATAGAGGTATTCTGCAGGGTTCAAAATGGAACGAAGTTTCCAGTCCGCGTAATCCGCACGGTGAGCGACCTGATCCAGTTGGTGTTTACGGTGCTTCTCATCGAAATCCTTACGGTCACTAAGGCGAAGGACATTATCTCTAGCTTGTCGAAGGCGGACGCACTCGCCACACTTTGTGAACGAGTTGGATTTGGTAAGGTCGGCATGCCACAAGTACTTTCTGCATATGGAGTAGAAGACTTGCTCCGAAACGATGTTCTGACCCGCCGCTAGCAAGTCCGCCTTGATGGATTCGTAGACAAGGAGCTTCGTAAAATATGTAGGGAGCCTGACTTTAGGTCTCTGCGAGGTCCCCCTCACAACCATGTCGTTGGGCATAGCATCTCCATGTTCTTCCACGAACCTTGTCACATGAGCCAGCATGGTCACATACTAAGATATCGGGTTGAACAATCCCCATCGACCATGCCGGCCACGGACTACCCCATCTGACTTGCACTTGCTGTAACGACGGTATGTGTTTCGACATATCCCAATTATTTTACACCAACCGGCGATGCACACACGGCGCTTGCACTGCACTGGTTGGACTCTTTCCAGACCACCGTCCATGACAGTGAAATTGTCCAGGGTTTGCATCCACCGCTCGACCCTCTTTTCGAGGGACATTTTACAATAAGCTTCGTGCACTGGTTTGATATCGTCAATGGTTAAGAGTCGAAGACACTTGTTCTTACAACATTTGTGCGCTGGGACGAGCGCAATGTTAGTTTCATTCAATCGACATTTGACCCCTTCGAATGTTCTAACTTTCTAATCGGCCTATTTTTTCGATTATATCTTCTCCTTTCTCCAGGTAGGGGATAAGACAAAACCCGACGAACCGCTTCGGGAGTTCCCGGATGAGTCGTAGATGGGGACCGCTGCGTTGCATCCATAAAATCAGATTTGTCCGTGGGAGCGATCTTTGACAAATCAGACCGGGAGGACTCAGACAAACTGTAGAAATCTGTGTCTACAAAACCAATCTGTCAATTTCTCGTCTCACCCGTGGCTGGCATCCATAGAGCACGTATGTGGACCTGCGAACTCAACAAACCTAGGGGACAATTAATTTTTCTTGATTCACTTGCAATTGTCTTACCTGCATCGGCATTTTCACACGGACGTTCCGTTGCCTGTTCCCGGTCAGACCAGTTTCTATAGGACGTATCGGACCGTTCCCGATTAGACCCATTTCTATCGGGCGTACCACAGAAGTCTGTATCCACCAACGACCGACTATAGTCAAATGCTAGAGGTTGGGTAACTTTAATGCTTTCACACATCCGACTGGTTGTCCGCACGACATCTGATCCAGTCGTTTCGGACACACCACAGAAATCTCTGTCCACGACATCAATCCATCGGGAATCGTCTGCGTATCCCGATCACGGTCACTATCGGGGATTAGCGCTGTAGATACGCGGTGACCGTCGGAAATGTCGGTAAAGCGAACAATACGACGCCGACTGGACGTCGCAAAGGAGCCCGAACAATTTGTCGGTGTAAACATAGAGAACTCGCTTTTGAAATCACGAGGCCATCCACAGGGAGCTTCCGGGCTGCTGTCACAAGAACTACGTTCTCGAACATCGTCTTCTCTGGGTTATCGTGACGGTGGCGGTGGCGGTGGCCTGACATAGGGGACGGTTTAGACACCCATTTGAAGAGACGACTCGCACGATAACTGTACAACAAGAAAATCACGTCAACGTATAATGAAGTCAGGGAAAGAAATAAGAGGGAGCAAACTCGCATTTCTAATATTTATCACAAAATAATGAGACAATAGTATTTGAATCCATTTCTTTTCCTTGGGCCCGTGTAATCTATATATGTGCGATTATATTCCCTCTTTAACTAACCAGGGACGCTGTGACACTTCCAGACCCTCATTTAAAGGTCAAGTCGTCTCACAAGTCCGACTCCTCATCCACTCGTTCTCGTGTGCGAGTTGAAGGATTGTTGTTCCTTATTGTTAGTTTAACATGCAAGCGGTTTGGATTAGTCCAAGTGAACTCACACTTTATCTCCGGTGCAAATTGATTATCACTCCCGGCGGAGGAGGTCCTGTTTATGCAAGAAAAGAAGTGCGAGTTGACTCGAACTTATTAACCATGCAATACGAAACAGGTCCGTGGCAGGTTCACCAACGAATCGACGAGGACATAGAATAAGGGGCGTACTTGCATTCAGGCGAGAGTACAACTGCGCGTCATTCGGGCCACTGATTCACCATACACTAAAATTTAAGACCGAATAGACTCGCACATAGAGTACGGATGGTTTGTCGCATTTTGTTGACTCGGACTTATGCACGATACAATTAGAAATAAATTTGTGGTTGGTTCAGCACCAAATAGACTCGCACATTCATTGCGTAGCATGGAGATCATTTCGGCGAGAGTACAAGTGCGAGTTGATCCGGACATTCACTACACAGTAAGAAATAAGATTCCTGGTTGGTTCAAAAGCGAGTAAATTCGCACGTACAAAAGTGCGTCGCATTTACGGAAGATAACAAGTGCGAGTTGACTCGGATTTATGCCATGTACAATTGGAAATAGATTCCTCGTTGGTTCAGCGGCTGCGAAACACCGTCGGCGGGGGACAAATGCGGCCGATCCGCGGACGAAGCCTAGTCCGCCACCCCCGCAGTGCAGACGCGCCACTTCGCGGACGTGTGGCGGCCGGTGGAGAGGGGGGTTCGGGATTTGGAAAGCGCCATGGGCCGGCGCATCCCCAGCCCCACCCCCTGAGTGATGGTATTTAAAAAAAAAATGTTTTTTTTTTTCTTTTTCCGTTGATTGATTGATTGATTGATTGATTGGCCCCACA